AACTTGCCTCTCCGATTCGAGGGCCGGGTCCTCGCGGCCCATGGTGGCCGCTGGGGACCCACGCAGCCTAGGTCTGTCTCGGGCCGGGCAGCCGGCCACCATGGTGGCCCTGAGGCCTGTGCAGCTCCTCCAGGGGGGCTAATAGACCCAGAGCTTAGGGGTGAGAGGGTCCCAGGCCAGAACCCTGCGCCATGGCTGGAGCCATCGCTTCCCGCATGAGCTTCAGCTCACTCAAGAGGAAGCAGCCCAAGACATTCACTGTGAGGATCGTCACCATGGACGCCGAGATGGAGTTCAACTGCGAGGTAACCAGCCGCCAGTCCCGACGGACTATGAGCGGAGAGCCGCGGAATCCCTGCCTGTCCGGCCGGAGTGCGCGTCCCCACTCACGGGGCGCCCTCGCTGCGGTGACAGTCGAGGTGGAAGCTTGAGGGATTCTGTATATACCATCTCTGGGCAAGGGTGGAGATGGTCAGAACCGGAAAGGACTTTCTAGGCCCAGATCACAAGTTAAAGCTAGTTGTTGCCTTTTTAAAACAAAACGTGGGTCTCTTGGTTTTGGCACTTCTTGAAAGTTATTTTCATTCATTTGTTATTGGAAAAAACTGGAATCTTCTATAGTAACGTACTCGTTTACAGTGTGTAGGGCTTACGCTTAATATTCCAGGGAGTTTCTCATTAGGAATTGTTATGTACGCTAGATCTTAAAAATTACATCTAGCCGGGCAGTGGTGGTGCATGCCTTTAATCCTAGCACTCAGGAGGCAGAGGCAAGCGGATCTCTGTGAGTTCGAGGCCAGCCTGGGCTATAGAGCTAGTTTCGGGCTAGACTCCAAAACTACAGAGAAACCATTTCTCGAAAAACAAAACAAAAAGTTACTACCAGTTTTGTTGAAAGTTTATACTTTTCCCTGTCCCAAAGTTTAAAGTTTCTAGAAAAACTCTGAGGAAAAAGTGACTTAAGTTTACTTTCCGTAGTTTCTAACATGGTAATAATAGCTATCATCTGTTGAAAGTACACGCGCACGTGTGTGTGTGTGTGTGTGTGTTTGTGTTTTTAACATGGTGATAATAGCTATCATTTTTTGAAAGTGTGTGTGTGTTTTGAAAGTGGAGTTGTGCAAACACTCCATCCCTGGGTTATATCCACAGACATTTATACATTTAACTCTCAAAAAACAAAACAACCACCAAAAAAATCAGTCAGGATTATGACCCTGGAATATATTTGATCTGGTTTCCTGGCCTATTGCTTCTAAAACCCTTGAAATCTCCAAAATAATAAGTGTCTTCTTGTGTGCTAGTAAGTTGCATTAGTTTAGGATTCAGCTTGGTTGCCAGAAAGGCTTAGTTAGCATCCTTAAGGTTGAGACTTCTCAATTCTTCACTCAAGATGGGATTGATGGTTAGATTGATCACCAAAGGCCAGTGATTTAATCAATAATGCCTTTATAATTAAGTCTCCATAAACTTCCAAAAGGAAGGGTTTAGAGAACTTCCATCTGAACATGTGTGCTAGGAGTGGGCATACAACTCTGTACCCTTTCCCACACGCCTTACTTTATGCATTTAAAAAGAGCTGGTAATATCTTGTGTCCCTTGTAATATCCCTGATTAAAAAAAAATAGGTAAATATGAGTGTGAGGTGCTCTACTAAACTAACTGAACCCAAAGAGGGAGTGTGGCACCTCAGTTTGTTGCTAGTCAGAAACCCGTGCTTGGCATCAGACACAGGAGGCTGACTTGTGTGACTAACACTTTAACCCATGAGATTTAACATTCCACGTAGTGTGTCAGAATTGAATTAAAGGACACTCAGCTGGTATCTGATGAAAGAAAGAATTGTTTGATTGGTTGATATTGCCATCTTATTTAACTTTTTAATTTTTATTGTTTTTTTGTTGAAATATTTTTGGCCAGGTGCGTCAGTTCACACCTGTAAGCCCAGTGCTTAGGAGACTGAGCCAGAGGATCGTGAGAGTTCAAGGCTAGCGTGGGCTATAGAATGTGGACGGTGGTGATGCTTTCAGAAGCAGCAACAGGTGGATCTCTGTGAGTTTGAGGCCAGCATGGTCTACAAAACGAGTTTCAGAACAGCCAAGCCGTGGCCACACAGAGAAACCCTGTCTTGAAAAATCAAAACCAAAAAAAAAAAAGTGGAAAAAAACCTTTACTATTTCCTTCCTTCTTACATATGTAGAGTGTCTCAAGATTTTGAGCTTTAGACTAAGCTTTTAGCCAAGATGGTACTTAATTTAGTCTTTGCTACCCAGCAACATTAGTAGGAGTGACAGTAAGTCAGGAGTTACCAGATTGTTTGTACTCATGGCTGTGTAGTAGTCAGTCATTTCAGCTTTGCAGGCTCTTGGAACTGTTGAAACAAACTACTCAGCTCTTAAGCTTTGGTTTTAGCTGACTGTATCAGGAGCTCCACTGACATATTCTACTCCAAAACTAGAGAACATTCCTTTGAAAACACGCTTTGGAAATAGTTGTAAGGGTGAACAACTGCTACCGCAAGAAATCAGTGGAAATTCAATAAGGTGAGTAGTTTGCATAAAGACTTCAAGACTGGCGGAGTTAGATAGGTTCCGCTCCTCATTGCTGAGGCTGACTGAGTCTTAGGAAGGTGTCATGGAGAGTGAATCCTCCTTTTTCTACCCAATCCTTACCTGTGGAACAGGGTGTGGCAAACTCAGAAGGTTTAGGACCTAACTGCTCTTTTCTTGACCTTGACTTGTGAGGTGGTTATTGACCTCAGAAAAAGCAAGTTGAAACCTCACCCTGTTGTGTTTTTTTCCACCAAAAGCTTGGTCCTGGAATTGGTGGGGAAAGGGATCTCTTAGAGAAAGGCTTGCCATTATCCCTTTCCCCATCTCCAGAATCCTGGTTCCATGCCTGAGGAATGGAGGGAGCAGGACTTAAACAGCTGTTGACTAGGGGACAGCTCTAATAAAGCTGGTGCAGGTGCCCCAGACTAAACCCCTAGCACCAAACCCACAAACAAACAAAACCCAGATTGTCCTAATCTTACCCCAGAGGACATAACTTCACCTTGAAAAACTCTAGGACAACTCTGAGGCCATTTCTGAGACCTCTCAGCATTAGTGCTTCCCCCTCCCCTGGGAACCAAGGATCTAACAACTACACATGCACACACTGGAATGTTGGGAACTTTCCATCTCCCTGAGTCCTTGTGAATGTTCTCCAAATAGAACTCAGTTATTGGAATTGGGGCAAGATAACCCTTAGATGTTGACTCAGTTCCTCGGCCTTGGTCAGGGAATGCTGACTCAGTTCCTCGGATATGGTTAGAATGACTCACAGATATTTCCCCCTTACCCCAACTGATCTAGCAACCACTCTCTCACCATGTCTCAGATGAGCTTTTTACTTTAAAAGTAGTCTATACCAGCTATTCGGGGTCTTTTGGCTTCTTGAATGCTGAAAGACCCTGTCATGACAGAATTAAATCATCTTGCTTTTACATCAACTGCGGTGTGAGAGTGGTCTCTTGGGGTGACTCCTACTGGTAGTTGTACTTCAGGGTCCAACAATCTGAAACACAGTGGGAAAAGGCAGTCTTGAGAGTACAAGGTTTTAGTGAGGAAAGATTAGATTTCATGAAGACACAGCCTAGACCGCATGTTTTCCAGTTTGCAAGAAATTATTAGGGAACTCTCCTTAGGTAAGAATAGAGATCAAACATTTAGCTCAGCAGCTCCCTCAGAGTAACCAGCAATTCAGTAGGCTAGTTTGTATACAAGTTGTGCCCCAGGGCATTGTTACAAATATTAGAAAAGCAAGCCACAATTAGAATTTAACAGCTAGATGGTCATGGAAAGGGAAGACTAAAGCCATGTCATTCAAGGTTCACTAGCCAAATAAACACCTCCCTGTGAGGAAAAGTCACAGGCCTTCACACTGTGAGATAAGTAGATTTTGTTAAATCTTCCAACCAGTCACAAAACAGATAAATAAATGATAAGTCTTAAAGTTGGATTTGATGGTCTGTGTCTGTAATCTTAGCTCTTTCAAGACTGGGGGCAGCAGAATGGACAGTCAAGGCCAGCCTGAGTTACAGAGCAAGTCCTGTCTCAAAAATGCAAGGACAGAGTGCTGCCCTTCCCCCACCAAATAAAAGCCCTGGATACGGGCATCTGTACCCAGAGTCACTAAAATATATTAACTGAAATGTCCGAAACATCAAAAACTTTGAGATACGTAAAGAAATGGGAAAATATGACCAGTACAAGGAAGGAAGAGGAGGTGGGTATGGGAAAGCTAGCTACAGAAGTCTCTGTGAGAGCGAACAGGGGTCAGAATTAACAAAAAAAAAGGCTTTAGGGGAGATTGTTCAGTCTTTAAACTGCTTACCATGCAAGTATGAGAATCTGAGCTTTGATCCTAAACACGCATTTAAAAGCTGTGATGGAGAGTGGAAGCAGGAAGATCTCTGGAGCTTGCTGGCCAGCCAGTCTAACTGAATCATTGAGCTCTAGTGTCAGTGAGTGACCTTGTCACTCAAAGGTGGAGAGTAATAGTGGAAGACACTTGATATTGACCTCAGGCTTCCACATTTCCATGTGCACCACACAAGTACACATCCATTTACAAGCACACACTCTTGAATACACACACACACACACACACACACACACACACACAAGATTTAGCCATTATAAATATATTTCCAGAACTTAAGGGAAGCACAAAGTAGTAAAATAAGGCAACAAGATACTGCCAAATCAAATGGATGTCACTAAAGAGAGAAATTATAAAAGAGAGTCAAATGAAAGTTCTAGAGTTGAAAAATCCAATAGCTAGAATAAAATATTCAATAGAGGAACCCCAGTTATAAATTTGGACTGTCAGAAGAAAGAAGTCAACTAAGAATTAGATCTAGTAAAGTTGAATATAGGTTAGTCATTTCAGAGTGGTGAAGACGAGATAACCAAGAACTGGGAGGATTTGTTGCTCAAAAACCTACCTTATAAGAGGTTAAGGGGTCCCTCAGGCTGAAAGCAAGAGACCTCAGTAATTCAAATGTGCATGAGAAAATAGTAAAGGTAATTATGTGATTATATAAGATGCTGTAAGCACATCATTTTCTCCTTAGCCGAGTAAAAATGTTTAAGTCCTTGTAATGTTAAACATGTAATATGTATTATATGTATAACACATTTGGTAACAATAACAGAAGAAATGCGTTGAAACAAAGCTATAATGGGTTAAGAAAATGACCTCAGAATCGCTGTAATAATGAATTAGTGTGTATGTAAATTTGATGTATGTATATACTAAT